GACACGTAAAGTGAGTAAACTCTCGCTGTCGTATTTTGCTGTCTATTACTTAATTTGTTTAAACCCATCGACAGTTGATTCAAACTGGGAGAGACGAAGGTAATGCGGAACGAGAGCAACTCAAGGCTGAAAGTGCACGCCAACGAGAGCAACTCGAGGCTGAAAGTGCACGCCAACGAGAGCAACTCGAGGCTGAAAGTGCACGCCAACGAGAGCAACTCAAGGCTGAAAGTGCACGCCAACGAGAGCAACTCGAGGCTGAAAGTGCACGCCAACGAGAGCAACTCGAGGCTGAAAGTGCACGCCAACGAGAGCAACTCAAGGCTGAAAGTGCGCGCCGCGACGCTGAAAGACTGGCTGAAATAGCCCAGCTCAAAGCCAGACTACGTGAATACGAAGACTGTCAGCCTGACAATGCGGCGGCCCCGGCCTGAAGAAGGGATGTCAAGTTTGTTCGTGAGTCCATTTGAGCATTACTACTTTCAAAACTAACAAGGATCTGTATCACAGTCGTAGCCAGGAAGACAGCAAAGCTGTCAAACATGCCATATCTTTCCTATTATTTATTTTCACAGAGCGGAATCTATGACTCGTCATCGTTAACATGTCCATGTATATTTTAGTACACTGTTTCAGGTGTAGGTACCGTGCCAGGCCTCTAGTGTAGTTAAATCATCGCGACGGTTCGAAAGCGGGTAGTTTGATAGTGCCACTTAGACTCCCATGCTGCTATGTTATAACGATCCCCAGATAGTTGCCAAATGTTTATGGAGGATGTCGCTGCGAATAATGACAAAGAAATCTATAATCATGATTCCGACGGCCTCACCGTGGTCCGTAATAACCGTTTCCCGAGTCCTGTGGAAGATCTTGCGACTCTCTTCTTCCATCCTCGTGAGCATCGCAGGCTTCGCTGCCAAAAATTCCATGGTTATATCGTAAAATGCATTCTATGACAAGGCCCATATGATGCCTCGTGATCTCCATCCGAACATACACCGTGATCATCCAGCACTTGTGATCTCTTTTTACCTGCCAGCTATATAAATGGAGGTGGAAGGAGCGGCAGCGTTCTCGAGGGTCTCTCATCTGCTCTCTTCTGAAATGCTCAACGTCGCCCTTTTTCTTCTGGGCTTGGTGTTCAGCAGCGACGTGCTCGCGTCCTCTTCTTCGTCCGGATCAGCGCCCAACCTTGTCGATGTCGGCTATGCGAGCTATCTGGGAAACCAGTCGTATCCCAACACGGTAGCCTACCTGGGCATTCCCTATGTCGAGCCTCCCCTGGCCGAATTACGATGGCGCGCACCGCTGCCTCTGAACACGACTCGCATCTCCCAAGAATCAAACAGACAGGTCATCAATGCCACCACGTACCCCATGTTCTGTGTCCAAGGTTCCATCGGAGGTATGTCCTGACGCGCCGCGTTCCCGTGTGTGTGGTTCTTGACCGGTGGCAGGTGGGGATCACGGAGGAGCTGGCTCGGAAGATTGTCTCAAAGTGAATATCTACGCACCTGCTGGAGCAAAGGAAGGAGATAACCGTGCGTGCGTCCTTGCCGTTCGCTTCGTCTCCGATGCTTAATCCAGAGGGCATACCGTAGTGCCTGTCCTGTTTTATATACATGGTGGAGGTACGTTGTATTGCTCGCATCGATGAGGCAGGTTTAATGATGTATACATTGAACTAAGGCTATGTCTACGGAAACCCACGCAATTGGCCATTTGACCCCTGGATCAACCAGAGTCCAAACATTGTCATCGTGTCCGTCTACTACCGCCTCGACTCCTTCGGCTTCCTGTCCCACCCCGACTTCGTGGACGCCTCCATAGGCGACTTCAACGGCCAGAGTGCTGGAGGGAGTTCTGTGGAACTGCACATGGTGGCTCATGAAGACGAAGGATTGTTCTCTGGTGCCATCGCACAGAGCGTGTTTAGGGGACCCGTGTCCACCCCCAAAGAACAACTGGTAAGCTGACAGCGCTCTTCCAAAAACAGTACACAGGAATCCTCATTGAGCATGCGAATATTAGCCCCTTTTTGATTTCTATTCCTCCTATGCAGGCTGTGGGGACGGGACAACCGCAGCGCAGATGACCTGTTTGAGGAATGTGAGCCAAGAGAGTCATAGATACTCTTGCACATATGGGCATATCAACATCTATGAATGCAATTCACACCACTATTTGATTGCTATCAATGGAGTCTCATCAAGCCCTTCAAGATCTTGGCCAAACCCTTTTTGCATCGTACACATATGACAATTTTGACGTCGATCTCAAAACCAGAGCTTCCACTATTGAACTTTCTACAGACAGTCTGAAGCACCTCACGTCTGGCCTGTTATTTCCGCTGCAACATGGGGTTTCTCAGGTCGACCTCAAGTGCTCACATGCCCTTTGGAAATAGTGGCACCTTAACCCACAGCTTCGTACCAAAGACCTTCCACCCAAGAAAACATTCAAAGATTTACTAACCCTCCATTCACAACCAACAGACATAGCTGGACTTAGCCCACGACAACAGTTCATCGCATGGAAGTTCCTGAGCGACCTCTTGTACTTCGGAGCATTGTATTTTTCAGGTTTCAAATCTCAGCTTGAAAAACCTTCTGTTATAGAACAAATTCCTCTCATCAAAACACCTGTCATTGCTGCCCGAGTAATGGATGTGAATAACTCAACCATTTCAGGTAACGTCCATGCTGTATCCGAGCATGTAGTCCTATTCCATGGGGATTTGGGCATAGGAGAGCGGCTGCAGGCCATTTAGGAGCAAAGGGCAATTTGAGGAGACACCCTAGAACTGTTTTCAACACCTCATTTTTGTACCAGGTCTCTTCCATCTTCAAATGACTTGTGCTGATGCATTATGGCGCACATTCCTGCAATCGGCAACAGCAAGACAAGATGAAATGAGCTTGATGCACAATGTGTCCAAGTTGCGACCTAGAGAGACAGGTATATATGGCAGTAAGCCAGGGTTTAGGCGTATACATCAGCTGGTCAATCACGCTGGAATATGCCACCATCTTGATTGCTGGAGAGTTGAGGTGAAGACTCATAATTCAGCTCATTCTACTCTTGCCCTATTTGCGGCTTCAGCACCATTGTTTGATGAACTCAAGGCTATAGCTGCCTATCTAGCCAAGGCTTGTATTGCCAATCACAAGCTCACCTGACTATGCCAGCATCCTCCAGCATTTTGAGACCAATAATATGAAAATGGGCTACTACTCAATAAATACTTGCTACTCTATGATGAACTGTTGTATGCAATGAACAAGGGGGACATTGCACGCGTTGAAACATGCATTGTGTATTGGATACCCATTTTTAGGGCGACGGGAAAGCACAAGTACACTATGCATATGACCAATTTTTTGGTGGCTGTTCATTTTTCATACCTGATGGTTTAAAGTAAGTGCAGCGGTTTTCTTTGATTGATGCAAGCTAAAGCTATCCCTGTCATGTCCATACTAGAAGACAGAACTCCAGCAGTTCTGAAGGAGTTATGCTCCGGACCCAGAACCCCAGAACTGTCGGTATACTCAGGATTACGTTCCCCGGACCCAAAACCCTCAAACCATTGGTATGCTCGGAAATCTGAACAATATCAACTCAATCGTAGCTATA